CACTTGAATACAGACATACTGTCTGTATGGAAATACTCTGTGCAGGTGTTAATCAAGTTAAATCCCAACAGCCAATCAGCAAGAAATGCTCTGTGCAGGTGTTAATCAAGTTAAATCCCAACAGCCAATCAGCAAGAAGAATAGAGGAAAGCTGCATGCCTATTGGTTGATGCCCTGCATTCCATTGTGATGACTCATACCCAAACGTGGTAAACATGACACACTAACACAGTAATACATTTGCTATAACACAGCCAAAAAACTCAAATAAAACCATTCTAAAAGCCTGTATCACAAAAATTTAAAAAACGCCTAGGGGTATTTGCCCACTGTACCTCCATACCAAATTTCAGGACCTTAGGCCCTAAAATGAAGAAGCTGAATCCATTTAAAAAATGGCAGGAGAAGAAGAAGGAGGAGAAGAAGAAACACCAGAAAAAGCAATATGGTTTCACCACACCACTTCGTGGTGTGGTGAACACATAATGATAAAATGGTAACAATGGACATGGTAAAAATGTGCCCTTATTATGTGATATGCATTATAAGAAACATTAAGCCTGAGCACCATCTTCATCATTTTATTGTAACTCAACGTATTCGTTCACACCAAGGTGTACTAATGAGAATGGTATCCAGACTATAAATATACACATCAGAACCCTTGTTTTTACGTTGGCCATTGCCCCATTGACCCATGGACTAACAAGTGCTGTATAAAATTCTGACTTTAAAGACCACCAGTGCGTACAATTTAGTATACTTAAGGAGCTCTACACTACTACAAGTAACAGCCCAGACTAATTAGTAGAACTGGGTCACTGGAGTGATACTAGACTGGGGAATCGATACGTGGTAAACGAAAGTAAGTAGCTGTCTGTTTCGAACGCTGAAGTTTTAAGTGGCACTGATTTGAGATATCACAGGAAACACAGCAGTTTGGATTCAGTGACGTTCTGCACCTTCCCCGACCACCGACTAACCAAGGTTGGCTGAAGTCTGGGAGCAGTCTGAAAAGATGTAGGCCATGCCTACCTCTATATACGCCTCTAACCGAATTTCCGTTAAATTTGAGTCAAATTGTACTCCCGAGCAAGCAACGACCATTGCTGACTTACTCCCAACCACCAGCCAACCATTGCCAAACCTTCCGTCCACACACGAATTTTTTTTACATATTGAAACATTTGGCTGGCGCAGCCGAACAGTGGTCGACCTCGACCGCCAAACACCAGCCAACCACTGTCGACCTTGCTCCCGACCTACTCCCAACCATGCTTGGGGGGAGTTCGGCAGTGTTTGTGAGGCCACATTAGGCTGTTTGTGACAGGGGCTTAAGCTTAGAGTGGGCTTTGTTTTCACATTGATCGTTATCCTGAACATGCTCTTGGCCCTGTGCATCATCAGTGATGCTCAGTGCAGCCTCCAAGTCCCGCATCTACTCAACAT